CACATTTTTTGGTGAGGAGAGTTGAGGAAACAAAATCTAATGACTAATACTGTTGCCAAAATTTTTTTTGGCTGAAGGAAAGTAAGGCAACAAAATCTAATGACTAAAACTGTGGACAAAAATTTTGGTGAGGAGAGGTGAGGAAACAAAATCTAAGGAAACAAAATCTAATGACTAAAACTGTGGACAAAAATTTTGGTGAGGAGAGGTGAGGAAACAAAATCTAATGACTAAAACAGTGGAACAAATTTTTGGGTGAGAAACAATGCAATCTGATCAAATCTAATGAAAACCATTGTTTTGATCAAATTTGATCAGATTGCATTTTTTCTCACCCAAAAATTTTGGTGAGGAGAGGTGAGGCAACAAAATCTAATGACTAAAACTGTGGACAAAAAAATTGGTGAGGAGAGCTGAGGAAACAAAATCTAATGACTAAAACTGTGGACAAAAATTTTGGTGAGGAGAGGTGAGGAAACAAAATCTAATTACTAAAAACTATGGACAAAAATTTTGGTGAGGAGAGGTGAGGAAACGAAATCTAATTACTAAAGCTGTGGACAAAATTTTGCCCACAGTTTTAGTCATTAGATTGTGTTTACTTTCTCTCACCCAAAAATTTTGTCCACAGTTTTAGTCATTAGATTTTGTTTCCTCAACCCTCCTCACCAAAATTGTTGTCCACCGTTTTAGTCATTAGATTTTCCTTTTCCTGTCCCCTTTCCTTGTGCTAATCCTTTTCCTTGTCCTCTTCCGTTTCCTTTTTGTTTCCTCTTCCTTGTCCTTTTCATCGTGCTTTTCCTTTTCCTCTCTCTCTTCATTTTCCTGTTCCTTTTCCTCTTCCTTGTTTCCTTTTGCTTGTTTTTTTCCTCTTCCTTGTTTCCTTTTTTTTCATGTTCCTTTTCCTCTTCCTTTTCCTTTTCATCGTTTTTTTAAAACCCTTTTCCTCTTCCTTGCCCTTTTCCTATGCCTCCTTTTCCTTTTCCTCTTCCTTTTCTGTTGCGTTTTCCTTTTTTTACACCTTTTTCCTTTTTTGCCCTTGTTCTTTTCCCTTTCCTCTTCCTTTTCCTTTTCCTCTTCCTTTTCTTTTCCTGTTCCTTTTCCTCTTCCTCTTCCTTTTCCATGGGTTTCAACTACCCTTTCATCAAAGGGTTTTTCAGCATTTTTTTTTCAAAATCATAGTTTTGATCAAATTGTTTTTTGTAAAAGATAAGTAGTAGAAACAAGAAACAACACCACCAATCACAACTTCAAGAAAACAATGAAATTGTTCCAAATAAACTTGTTTAAATCAACTTACTTGCAAATTCAATAGTATACCTAGTCATGGTAAGCCTCATACCCGACCAATCACAAGAGGTTGCAAAACCATTCAGTGACCCCTTGAGGTTAATGAAGGTGTTGAAACCCACACAGTAAAATACATGTAGGCTTCACCTCACCCTTTCAGCAAGGGGTTGAACACACTACACTAAGTTACATTTAGATTTCATTTGCTCTTTTCAACAAGGGTTGAAAACAATACACCGAATTAGACATAGGTTTCTGCAGCCCTTTCAACAAGGGGTTGAAAGCCTTCATCGTACATTTTGTGTTTGTGAGAATTTGGTTCAAGGTGTAGCTGTGGTCAGCCATGGCTCCAAAAAAGGTGATGAAGGTAGTGAAAAAAGGGAAACCAAAGGGCAAGTCCTTGACAAAAGGAAAAGGCATTCTCAAAAATCCCTTGACAAAAGGGAAAGGAAGTGGTGCACACACCCTGAAAAAGACAAATCTAAACAAACTGGGCAAGCTCACCTTAGCAGACAAAGTCCAGAAGGCAAGTGAAGGAGCTGCAAGCCCAGAAGAAGCAGCCACAAACCTCAAAGGTTTGTGCAATACCCAAGAAGCAGCCTGATGACTTGGTCATGGGGCAGCATGCTTTCCAAGCAGAGCTGCCTCAATACACATCTCCTGATTTGTGCAATACCCGAGAGCTGCACACTGCCCAGCACATGGCCTGCGTTGGACGCTTGGATTGCATGGTCTTTTGAGGCTTTGGCCAAGGGTTGGCGCCCCTGTGAAGACCCTTGGGGCAAGGGGAGTTGGCATCCTTTGCTGGCAAGCCCTCAACTAAAGGGCACCACAGGGCAGCACTGTGGTCAATACAGGGCGATGCTGAATCTTACTCAAATTTCCTCAAAGTTGGACGTTGGGCCTCCCAGTATCCTTGCTGCATGCCCTCCTGGCAAGTCAGTCAAGATATTGAAAGCATCAGAGCAAGACTGCAAATATGTGAGCCCAGCAGAGGCACTCCTTGCCAAAAGGAACAATCATGTACTCTTTGGAATCCCTGTCAGGGGTGATGCCCTGCACATATTGTACAGCAGGGCCTTCCATGATTGGCCTAACAGGCAGAAAGTGGCAGCCTCCAAGAGAACCCAAGTCATATTTGCCAAAGTGCGAGACATCTATTCTGAAAGAAGAATTTCCAACAGGTTGACAAACCTCAGGCTCTCCATGATCACCGACACTCAGTCTCCTTTCAAGGCCTTCCCAGTCTTGGAACGCAAGGCTGCAGAATGCAAATGGTTTCTGCCAGTGTTGGAGCAGGTTCTGGCAGATTGCCTGGATCTTAGAGTTGAAATCCACCAAAGCATGATACAATGCTGCAAAGCCTTCAACGAGTTGGTGGAGCACTTCGATGGCTGTGGTGCTTTTCTCACTGCTGCAGAGTTTGCAGCAGCACAGGAGCTTTCCACAAGCTTTTTCAACCACTACAGTAGGTTGAACTGCTGGGCAGCAGAAGAAGGAAGGAAGCTCTTTCACATCACCTTCAAGTTCCACTCCATGCTCCATTTGGTTCAGAACAGCAAATGGATGAACGTCAGGCTGCATGCCAACTATAGAGCAGAATCCTTTGTGGGACAGATGTCTGTCATTGGCCACAGTGTGAGCTTTGGAAACAAAGCCACAAGAGTTTGCACAAAACTCACGCAGAAGTACTTGGTACTTCTGCACCTGCAGCTCACCAGGCCTGGCTTTGGCAATCAGCCAGAGGATGACAGTGACCCTTAGGTGTGGAAACCTGGTCAAAAGGTTGAACACCTTGGCAAAAGGTGTGGGCACCTTCATGTGAACACCTTGACAAAAGGTATGAACACCTTGGCAAAAGGTGTGGACACCTTGGCAAAAGGTGTGAACACCTGGGCAAAAGGTGTGGACACCTTGGCAAAAGGTGTGTGGACACCTTGACAAAAGGTGTGTGGACACCTTGACAAAAGGTGTGTGAACACCTTGGCAAAAGGTGTGGGCACCTTGATAAAAGGTGTGGACACCTTGGCAAAAGGTTGGAACACCTTGGCAAAAGGTGTCAACCCCTTGGCAAAAGGGTGGAGCACTTTGACAAACAAAATACAAAGATCAGTTTCACTTGCATATCTTGAAGAGATTGCATGAAAAAGGACATATATAAATCATTGATTGTCTAATTGATTTTGTTATTGATATTATCAATAGAAAAGCTTGTAAAATTTATTGATTTTCAATGTGTTTTTCTATTGAAAATGTAGTCTTCCAGATCAATTAAAACAATTGATTTGGAAGACTACAAAATCAATTATTTTGAGCTTATTGATTAGAATCAATAACCGATGCTCAGTCAGCTTCAACAAAATTTGCACCACACCACACGTTTGGAATGATTTCGACCCGTTCTGAGCACACTCCCATCCACCAAAATCGCAATTTCAGCTGAGACTGGTCACGAAAACAGAGCTTCGATGCCACACCCTGAAACGCAAATCCCAATGGCACCACCCCAAAAACACGACTCTCTAAATGCTAATCCCAATGGAACTGCGTAGCAAACTGCGGATCTCACAAAACGCTGTGCCTGTGCAGCGAAATGCATCACGCTTCTTGCGCGACATGTCATTTTCATGCAAATCACAATGGAATAGCATCGCAAACTGACACGTGACACATCCATGAAAAGTCACTTGCAAAAGCTTCCCCCAATGGCAGCGCCTTAGCGCTCTACTGCGAACACCTGCGAACGGTTGCGGACGGTTGCGAACGGTTGCGGACGGTTGCGAACATAGAAACAACGGGTCGCGGACAAGGCTCTATACCCCCGGACCCCCAGAGTTAAACGAGAACCCTTCGCTACGCATTCGGGAAAACAGACACCCAAGCAACATGTCACGTTTCATGAACCGCCCATATCGGCTCGCCCGAAAAAAGGACACGTCCCCGATCTCCCGGACCACATAGAGGCGAGGGGAAGGGGCACCGCGCGGACCGGAGGAAAGCTCCGAAGCCCTGTGCGCGCGGGCGATCCGCTCAGGACCTGTGCGGATCACACCTCGTATCTCTTTCAGCTGGACGGCGCCAACTTTCGGAAGATCATGGTGCGCTCCGTGGCATGGCGCAACGTGAAGAGACGGATAGAGAGAGAGAGAGAGAGAGAGATGAGGTTTTTTTCATCGAGAGGTGACATGGATGGTGGCGCCACCAAAAAGGACCAGAGCATTTGGGGGGGAATTTCACTTCCAACGTGAGGGATTGGCAGATGGGTGTCACTGTCATGTTTTGTCTTTCCACATGTTTCTTTCGCATTTGTGCCGCTTTCTTTGTGAAACCCGTGAGAGTTTGGTCCCTCGGCGAGATGACAAGGTGGAAGATGAGACAGGTCACTGACATAAGATCTTACAAGTGATTATGACATATGATGACAATCCACCTGAAACATTATTATTTTACAACATGTTTGTCTTGACCAATCTTTGCTTGCCATGGCCGGGTTGCATGCAAGGACCAAGCTGAGCTGTGCGCAATGTACGCGCGACTCTTTCACAAGGGCTTGATGGAGGCGTCTGTAACTGAGGAGCAGTGCCGCGCATGGAGCTCATTCGAAGCGAAAGAAAGGGCCGGGCCACGTAGCTCGTATAGATGTCCCATGTCCCCGTTGATGCCAACACCGAACGACCACATCGCCTGAACGACCCGCAAGCACAAGGAATTCCTTATTGCCCCTTTGGGAGAGGAAGTTAGAGACAGTCGGAGATTGCTTTTCCAGATTCGGGTGGAGTTCAACAGTTGAGACAAACTGTAGTACAGTCTGTAGCACACCGGACTTGAAACCATCTATATGGAACCTTTCTTGGGTCCTTTCAACATCCAACTTGTCCACTTTTCACACCTTTCTCACTCTTGTTTCACCATGCTTTTCGCCTCACTTCTTGCACTCCCATCCGCCTCCCATCCCCGTCGCGAGCTCCAGGAGGACGCCAGCGACTTGTTCGGCAGCGACGAGGACGTCGCGCAGATCATGACGCCCATCCGCGCGGTGATCCGCACCAGCCGCTGGGCGGATGGAGATGTGGCGAGAGGGTTTTCGGTAGGTACATTTTTTATCATTTTTTCGGATTTGATTAGATTCTGGTGTTGTAGTGCTTTTTTATAGTGTATAATGCTGTAACTTCATCAACAGGCTTTTATGCACGTCAGGCCGTCAGGCTGGGATATACTGTTTGCTTCTGAGCGATGGAGCGATGGCGGATGGAGCGAGTCGCTGGTCGCTGAGGCAACTTGATGGCGGACTTTGGGCACTTCTCCGCTGTTTGGGCTTTCCAAGTCTGGAAGGAATGGCTTCAGGACAAGCACCCTGGCGGGTTAACGGTCGGAAACGCCCCAAAGAAGGAAAACACAGGCACACACACAGGGGGTTGGAGAAGAGGATTGGAAACGTAAACGGCGGCGTGGAGGATTCATTTTGTTTCTTAATGTTCTTGTTCTAGTAAAGATCAGGATGCCGAGAGACGCACGTGATGGCGCACGATAGCAGAAGTGATAGGATCCTATCGGATCTATCGGGTTCTCGCTGAAGGGACTGAGCATGAAAAAGCGACCATGGAAAAAAGCGTGTTGCAGGAGGGAGGGACAGACAGACAGAGAGAGAGAGAGAGCGCCTCAAGTTTTGCAGAGTTCCCTGTTTTCAACGGGCAGCCATTTTAGAGCATTCAACTATCAAGCCGGCGCCTCTAAGGAAAGATGAACGACGGAGATCCAAGAGAAACAGTTTTAATTTTTGCGGCCGCAGAGAGGCGTCCTAATGCTCCTCAAAGGATCGTTGGACCGTCCCAGGTCGGTTTCCCATTTGGGGTAACCCACCGCTTTCGCGGTGGGGGGGGTCGAAACTGGCGCGCGACGCGTTTTCTCGACGCTGCGCCAAATGACTTCTTAGTGGCCTTGTTTTAAAGCCACTTAGCATGAAAATTTGTCAAGGTCACTTCACAAGATCGATGGGCTTTAAGTGACCTCTTTGAATCGAGTCACAAGTGACCTCTTTCAGTGAATACTGTGGTTTTCACATCTATGTTTAAGGTGCTTTATGGGTTTTTGTCTTGGAAGAAGGATCCCAAGGAGCTCGAGGCAGTGAACGACCACCTGTGCTGCAGCACCTGGGATCGGAGCAAGCTGACCATGTGGAGACATGATATCGTGTTATATTGCATGCCATAGGCTGAGGATGCTGTGACCCATAGCTCTATGGTATACACATCATGTGTGCTCCTGCGTTTTTCTACCTCCCTTCCTTCAAGCTATGGCTGATGAAGCTGGTCGTATACTTCTCAAGTGTTTGAGCAAAGGTGGGAGGACACTCAGCTGCTAATTGAGTGACTGAACGAGCATGATTCTAGAGTATTGATGTCTTGTACAAACTAGTGCTGCAGCACTGCATACCATTCACATGGGGACTTGAAGGACTTGTCGACTACAGACTCTGAGGAAACTTCGGAGGGAGATGGTGGTGCACATGAACAAGGATGATATCCAAGAGGAACGCATCATGGTACAGGGCGGTGATATCCGTCAACGGGGAAACCAGTGGTTGCGAAAAGCTTGGCAAAAGTCAGGTGTCACCCGTGTCCCACGCGAAGCGGAGTTTAGAAAGATTGTGAGGAGTCTGGCTAGCCAGTACAACCTATGCAGCACGTTACCGGTCAATAGAAAGTTTGCTCAGTTCGATTTTTATCTATTTTTGTACACTAGTCTTAGTTGTTTTGAGGGGACTTCCAAGGTCTCGGGCCATCATCTTTTGTATCTGAGGCCCTGGGTTGGATGATGAAGCCAAACAAGCTTGGATCAGGGAAGAGGCTGTCTCGTTTTAATTTCTTCGTTATTCACATGTTTTATTCTAATTTTGCATATCATATCTGTTGAACGTACAGGCTGCCAAATGCCATCGGGTGGTCATCCGACACAAAAAGGTGGGAGGTCGACCCAGCTCAGCAAGCACAAAATCAGCGCAGGGTATTTTGGCAGTGAACCTGCATGCACCGTTTTTAGAGCATCAAATGTGTTCTTTTGGAAACCTATACTATATTATAGATCGAGAGCAACCTGAGCAACTCAGGTCTTTTGTTGATCAAGCTGACACGCAACCTCCCTTGCTGTCGGGCTTGGATGATGAAGCTATGCTCCTTGAAAACGTCATTATATACTGTGACGAGTGCTCTCCAAAAAGAATAGATCGATAAGAATAGTAATCCCAAACTCCCATCGACCGTGTGCTCAGGAAAGCTTGTAGTTCAGTGCCTGAGGACACTGATTGCAATGATCCTGGTGATTGCGAGGCTAGCGAAGAGGAAATCGAAACTGATGATGAAGTGGTTTCTTGGCCATAGTTCCAAGTGCACCCATATTGAGTTCAACTTTCTACGCTTGGTTCCTCGAGGTTAGTGATATGGAGAACAGCAAAGATCCTGATGAGGCTATGATGCGTTTGCAAATGCTAGTAGTGGCCATGAAACATTTGTCATTGCTGGCAGGAGGTTGAGCTGACACTAAAGGATCCTTCAAGTGAGGAGGACGATGGAGAGTTAAAACCATATGAGGAGGACAGCGAAGCTTCAGGACAAGAAAACGCTGAAGAAGACACAGCACATGGGCCAAACAAGAAGGAGGAACCACACCACTCAGAAGATGAAGACCAGGAGGATGAGAAAAATGATGGAGCAGAGGATGCCACACAGATCACACAGGACGAGAAGGAGGATAAAGCCACGGATGGCATGGAGGATCAGAACGATGATGAATCAGCGGATGAAGAGGAGGGGGAGGAGGATGAGAATAAGGATGAGGTGAAGGATGACGCGGAGGATGAAAACGCGGCTGAATCAGCAGTTGAGGAGGAGGATGAAAATGGGGAGGTAGCAAAGGATGAGAACGCGGCTGAATCGGCAGATGAGGAGGAGGAGGAGGAGGAAAATGGGGAGGTGGCAAAGGATGAGAACGCGGCTGAATCGGCAGATGATGAGGAGGAGGAAAATGGGGAGGAGGCAAAGGTAGCTGAGGAGGAGGAGGATGAGGACGCGGCTGAATCAGCAGATGAGGAGGAGGAGGAGGAGGAGGATGGGGAGGAAGCAAAGGATGACACGGAGGATGAGGACACGGCTGAATCAGCAGATGAGGAGGAGGAGGATGGGGAGGAGGCAAAGGATGAGACAGTGGATGAGAATGCGGCTGAATCAGCAAATGATGAGGAGGAGGGTTGGGAAAACCATCATCGTGGCCCGCGACCCTTTCAAGCATGAATGCTAGGAATGCTGCCTTGGCGACCATTTGCAGTGCTGAGGAGGAAGGATTGAATGATATCGATAAAGAACTTGAAGAGGCAGTTGAAAAAGAAATGGGTGTTCTGCCACTTCCAAAGCATCGTCGGAGGACAAAATCGTTTCGTATCTTGAACGCATATATGGCTGTTTATGAAGTCAGTGCATGAGCTGCATCATCGCGCTGCCAATATTATCTTAAAACTTGGCCATGCAAACAGGCCCCCAAATACCCTGAACATTTTCAACTATTAACTTTGGACTTGGGGGGTCTGTTTTCCTGACCAAGGCTGAGTGGGAAATTGAAACCTTTTGTCAGTGTAAGGTAGCCCAAAGCCAAAAGATGACGAGAACAATGAAAAGAAGGAGGAGACCCACGTTTGGATTTCATCGCATAGTTTGCTATGTTTCTTTTGCCTGCAGGAACCGGTTGCTAACTCGAAGGTCACCCAGGACTTTTCCCAAGCAGCATTCCAAGATGCAGTTAAGAATGTGCAAGCGCGTGCTTTGAAAAAGGCATCCATGCGTGCACCCACACCGGAAGAGCAACTTGCTCTTCTACGTCAAAAGCAGGGGAAGCAACAGCGGGAGATACTTAGCCAGTACTACATGCATCGATGTTTTCAATTTTGCCTGGCCATCAATATCTCGGTCACTTGAGTTCATACAATATCTAAGGAAATATGAGGTTATCGAACAAGATCAAAACCGGCAGGACGGATGGACAGTTGAGGTTCGGAAGAGAAAGTCGGGCAAATTGCAAGGCGGCGTGTACAAAGTCTTCATAGATCCGAAGGGTGTCAAGTTCTATAGTAAAACCAAGGCAGAACTTGCAGGGATGGCAAAGAGTTCAAGTCCCAAGGCCCATCTCAAGCCAAAGGCAAAGGGCAGGGATAAGAAGAAGCAGAAGCAGGCCTAGTTAGTTATCTGATATGGGTGAGCTAGTAGCAGTGCCTCGATATATCTTGTAGATCACATGGACAGAAACAAAGGCCAGCTTTTGTGCTCCGATATATTACTTTATCGCACGCACCCGCTTTGTGTCATATATACATACTCTGCTTCGAACTGGTGTGTTTCTACAATTACAACATGAAGCGGTGCGAGTTCTGGGGTATGCGCAGGTGAATGGGGCCTGCCAACACCATAGGGGATCTGGGTCGGAAAAATCATTGTGTAGAGCGCTTGTTCCAGTTCATGGTCAACAGCTTGTCTAACTTAACACCCCACTGCTTGGACTCTTTGGTTGTTTCAATCGAGGTGGCTCTCAAGGGAATAGGATTCAGGCTGCTCTAGCTTTGAAGGATGAAGGTTGCTAACCTTCTTCCCATCTTTGCATTCCTGTCGCAAGTACCCTTGCCAGAAAGGCCGAACGACTTCGTTCCTTAAAGGCATTTGGTGAAATGATCGTTCAAAACATTGGTTGTGATATCTCATGTTCATACCCTCGACTCCTGACCAGCCAGACCACCCTTCCCAGGTTGAGGTGTGCGCAGGAGAAGGCAATCTGTCCTCCGCTTTGCGCAGCAGTGGATTTCAGGGCAAGGAGTTTGATGTTTCTAGCATTGGAACAAGTTACCATGGGTGAACATAACATGTGCGCATTAAATTCATGACCATCACGAGACAAATGCTGAGGTTATCTACAGTGGAAACCATAACCTGATGAGGACAGTCGGATTCTTGGCGATCATAGCTGCTGCCCCTCGATATAATTAGTGGGTGCACGGCAAATGCTTCAGGATCGAATGCGACATTGATCTTTGTTCCAACAGGAGCCAACAGACCTAACAGGGCAAGTGCCCTTTTTAGGCAACATCTTCTGAAAAGGATAGGCCAAACAAATGCCTTTAAAGTCTATTGGCCTTTCTTGCTTGTTGTCAAGGTTCGGAACATCAGGCCAGGCGGCCTATTGGTGGTAGCTCCACCATGTAATACCTGGGTTGTTGTGTATCTTGGACTAGTCGATGTGTGTCCTTGTTCTCTCATGCAGCACCAAAATCCCTGGCGCAATAAAATCGCACTTAGGTCAAGGTCTCAGACTGGCAGGTCTTGGTCAAACCCTGGAGGGAATCAACGCCCATGTGTGCAATGGGCCAACATCTTTGTTCTTCGACTACTCTACATGTGCCTTTCCTTCACTATACTAATCTAATTGAAGCCATGCACGCAACAACAATTGATATTCGGGACATGAGTGCCCTGCTATCACAACCTAAGACTACTCTATGCCCATCAGCGCGGAGCTGGAGCAGCCGATCTCTTCAGTTACCAGGTTCAATAGTGATGCTGTGACTGCTCATTATGTTGGCAGTGCGAGGTCTGTGTACTTCTGAAAGTGAGCCAATCCCTTGAACTGGTGATGTCATGGCCAGTGATCAGGTCTTGTGGCATTGGCGCCCTATGCAGCGCTTTTTGGATTTCACAAAGGCTCAACGTGTTGTATTTCCAATGGGCTCTTATGGGAGTCCCACACTCAAATTCACAGTGTGCACTGACCTCTGTATGAGCAACCTTTTTTGGGGGTTGAAAAGCTAGTTTCATGAGTGGCCACTATATGTTTAAGCTTTATGGATTGAATGGCGTGTGTCACGTCTCCCAGGTGCTGGTCTACGTTGACAGCTGTTTCTTCCCTGCGGCGTCCTCTAAACATCCAGCAGCTTCGCCGACTTCTTGACAGGTCGGGCCTCGGGATGCGCATTGAAAGGTGGAACTATCTTAGATCATGGACTCCATGTTTGGCTGTTTGATCCAGGGTCTCTGTTGCAGCATACTGGAAGCACTTTCTATTTACAGGCTTTGAGCTCAATCTGTATGTGATGCCTCGATATAACCAAGTTGATTTCTTCACTAAAGATGTGTGGAATACAATTGACACTTCACTCTCGTCCATGTCATGTGTTTGAAACCTTCCCCGAGGAAACCACTCGTGAAGAAGACCATTTCGAAGACGGGGAAACCTCAAGTGACAGGCCTCCCAAACCAGTTGAAGCAAAGTGCAGCTTATCCGTGGGCTTTTGGTTTGGCAGTTGGGGCATTGCTGAGTCCTGAGGGGTTACCAAACCCTTCAGCAGATTCTATGGTGCATGTACTTTTTGGTGGTGTTGATCGCTATAGCATATGTTTTGCAACTTTGAGTTAATGCAATCTCTCGATCGTAGGTTCTCTCTGCACAGGGTCATGCATCTAAGGAGATGCCAACACATGGGACTGAGAGATTTTGTGAAGACGATCAGGGTGCATTGGATGACCTGATCAAATACAATGGCCGAGCCAAAGCATGGTGGCGGAAGCTAAAGCTCAAGTGAGCTTGGGGGTCAGTCTGGGCCCAGTCCACACCCATAGGCCACCTCCTGTGGTTAGTGATCCAAACCAAAGTTTCAGGCCCTCCTCCACAGACTTTTTTTGCACCGGTACACAAAGATATGGAACCGAGGTTATCAAAACACGTGTTATATTGGTGCCTGCATGGTTGTTTTCTTTTCTCCACTCTGACATCATTAGTCTTCTATGGGAACGAGTAGGCCTCATCATAGGATTGGCTCACCACGTAGGGGGCGTGGTGTCTTTCTGGTGCTAAATGTTTTGAACAGTTGGTGGACCCTGTGAGCTGACCCAGCCACTTGGAGGAGCGATAGAGCTTTTGCGTGTGAGACCTCACCGTGGACAAACAGAGTGGGAGGTGGATTGTACATGTGTCTGCGACCAACATAGTTGATTGATCGATCGATCGAGTGCTGTATCGTTAAACCTGATGGCCGATGCATTCCCTCCCCAGCTTTGAATTTTGGAAGTGGGTTCCTGCTGGAGCCATGAGAGCCATGAGAGCCATGACACGTGAGCAGTGGTTTGAGTACCTCAGCATCCTAGCGAATGAAAAGATTTGCGCAAGCTGTTGGGCAACTCAATTGAAAAAATATTTGACAAGGTTTGGCATGCCCAACCATGTTTCGATGCTGGTCTATAAATATGTGCATGCATGCGTAATAAGCTTTGGTGGCGCCCTGCAGGTCTGAATATCGCGCTCTAATACTGAGGTAAAGACTGCCGTTGTGACCTCTCTGAGAAGGACCCCGCAGAACTAGCTTAGCTAGCGATTTGGAGAAAAAACAAATTCGATCCTAATTCGATCAAGTTTGCTGATCGATGTCCTGATATCGAAATCGTAGCAAACCTCGAGAAAAAGCTCGCGTGCCCCTATCTGGGGAGCCAAGCGTGATTTCTTGCAAACAGCAGGCCTGCGATGTTTCTTTGGAATTTGGAGCGTGTCAATGCGTGTCAATGGCGTGTCACGGAGGGGTCCTGTAGAGGTCGCTTAGAGCTTCTAGAGGTCACTTAGAGGCTGAAGCGGACACTTGTCCATATAGGGGAAACGTGTCAATTCGTGTCACAAAAATAGCCCATTTGGGTTCAGCACCTTGTTCTTGGGTCGAAGACCTTCAGCGCTCAGTGAGGCCCAAAACGTGTTTTTGTGTGAATTCTGTTTTTGCACCATGCGCCATGAATTCTGTTTGTGCCAGCCAGCGCCAGCTCTACAGGCCATGTCGGAGTCAAAGAAAGGAAAGCCCCGCACTGCAGAAGAAGCTGACATAGCAGGACCAGAAGATCAGAATCCAAAGCATCAAAGAAAAGAAGGAACCGCAAAGGAAGCTGATCAGAAGAAGAAGAAAAAGGTGTCCACAGGAGGAGAGGATACGAAGGAGGCTGAGAAGAAGGCAAAAGAAGACAAGGAAGCAAGGAAGGTTGACAAGAAGGAGAAGGCACCCAAAGAAGATGATGCAAAGGAGGCTGAGAAAAAGAAGAAGGTGGCCAAAGGAGGAGAGGATTTGAAGGAGATTGAGAAGAAGGCAAAAGAAGACAAGGAAGCAAAGGCGGCTGAGCAGAAGGAGAAGAAGACACCAAAAGAAGACGATGCAAAGGAGGCTGCGAAGAAGAAGAAGGTGGCCAAAGGAGGAGAGAATATGAAGGAGGCTGAGAAGAAGGCAAACGAAGACAAGGAAGCAAAGGAGGCTGAGAAGAAGGAGAAGAAGGCACCAAAAGAAAACGATTCAAAGGAGGCTGAGAAGAAGAAGAAAGTGGCCAAAGGAGGAGAGGAATCGAAGAAGGCTGAGAAGATGGCAAAAGAAAAGAAGGAAGCAAAGGAGGCTGACCAGAAGGAGAAAACACCAAAAAAAGACGATGCAAAGGAGGCTGAGAAGAATAAGAAGAAGGTGGCCAAAGGAGGCTGAGAAGAAGGCAAGAGAAGAGAAGGAAGCAAAGGAGGTTGAGAAGAATAAAAAAGTGGCCAAAGGAGGAGAGGATACGAAGGAAGCTGAGAAGAAGGCAAGAGAAGAGAAGGAAGCAAAGGAGGCTGACCAGAAGGAGAAGAAGACACCAAAAAATGATGATGCAAAGGAGGCTGAGAAGAAGAAGAAGAAAGTGGCCAAAGGAGGGGAGGATACGAAGGAGAAGAAGGCAAATGAAGAGAAGGAAGCAAAGGAGGCTGAGAAGAAGAAAGTGGCCAAAGGAGGAGACGATATGAAGTAGGCAGAGAAGAAGGCAAGAGAAGAGAAGGAAGCAAAGGACCAGAAGGAGAAGAAAGCGCCAAAAGAAGATGATGCAAAGAAGGCTGAAAAGAAGAAGAAAGTGGCCAAAGGAGGGGAGGATATGAAGGAGGCTGAGAAGAAGGCAAAAGAAGAGAAGGAAGCAAAGGAGGCTGAGCAGAAGGAGAAGACACCAAAAGAAGACGATGCAAAGAAGGCTGAAAAGAAGAAGAAGAAAGTGGCCCAAGGAGGAGAGGATACGAAGGAGGCTGCGAAGAAGGCAACAGAAGAGAATGAAACAAAGGAGGCTGACAAGAGGGAGAAGACACCAAAAGAAGACGATGCAAAGGAGGCTGAGAAGAAGAAG